TGGAATCTTCATTGGAAAATGTTGCTTGGTCAATCTGCTGATCCCCTTCTGCAGTGAAATGACTGGCTTAGCAAATGAGGAGAGAGCAGAGGACAGGGAGTATTTTGACTTCAGAAAGGCTTTTGACACTGTCACCTGTAAGATTCTCAGAGAGAAACCAATGAGATATTCACTGGACAGACAGACTGCGACAGATAGAAAACCAACTGAATGGACAGGCCCAGAGATGGGGTGGCTGGTGACCTGTCACACAAACTCTAGTTGGAGGGCAATAACTACCAATGTATCCCAGGGGTCGGTGCTGGCTCCAATCCTGTTCAATTAATGACCTAAACAGTAGGGCAGAGTGTAGCCTCAGTAACAACCATAAAGAACTGCATGAGGACTAACTAGTAAGTCTGACAGGAGGTAGAGATTAGATGGTGGGCACCGAGAGAGACTGGAAACTATCTGAGATTTTGAGTTCTATGGGTTGGGATCACAAACACAGAATCCAGCTGGGGGCCACTTACTAGTTGCATGCTTGGAGGATTGCTGCTGGGCCAATCCTGCTTCATTAATGCCTTGAATGATGGAACAATACAGATGATACTAAATTAGGAGGAGTGGCTGATACACCAGAGTCATCATGCCGTTCAGAGGGACCTCAGCAAGGTGGAGAAATGGGATGACAGGAAACTCATGACGTTCAACAAACACCAAATCCTGCACTTGGGTAGGAATAGTCTCATGCACAGGATAGTTGGGAGCTGACCAGCTGCAAAGAAGCTTTGCAGAGAAATGCTACTGCGTCCCTCCTGACCACAGGCTGACCATGAGTGAACATTGCCATCTCAGCCAAGGAGCCTGGAAATGACATTGGGTCTGTTAGGAAAAGCCTTTCCCACAGATCAGGGAACGCACTGATGAGCCCACACTGGGAACATTGGATCAAATATTGAGCTCCTCAGTACAGAAGTGGCATGGAAATACTGGAGAGAGCTCAGCAATGAGTAAGAGAAGCCTCCATCAGTCTTATCCACGTATGTGTACATACATATACATATACATATATATACACAAATATATATATATGATTACATATCTATATATAGATATATAAATATAGATATAGATATAGATATAGATATAGATATAGATATAGATATAGATATAGATATAGATATATAGATCTACATGTATACATGTAGATGATATAGATATAGATATATATTATACAGATATAGATGTAGATATAGATATAGATATAGATATAGATAGATATAGATATAGATATAGATATAGATGATATAGATATAGATATAGATATAGATATAGATATAGATATAGATATAGATATAGATAGATATAGATATAGATATATATATATATAGATATAGATAGATATATACTCATGATGGAAGGGAAGAAGAAGAGGAAGTCGAATTCTTCTTGCTGATGCTCAGTGACAGAAAAAAATACCAATGGACACCAATTCAGAGAGGAAATTCCATTTAAATGTAAGAGAAATCTTTTTTGCCATGACTGTTTTGGAATACAGGTTTGTCAGAGAGGCTGTGGAGTCTCCATGCTTGGAGATATTCAAAATACAACGAGACACAGCCCTTAGTAATTAGCTCTAGGATATCCTGGTTTCAGCAGTAACGTTTGGCTAGACCATGCCCTAAACTTCTTTCCAACCTCAGTGGTGCTGTGATTCAAATTATAAACACCACACACCAGTATTTCAGGTTTCTGGAACTAGAAAATATGACTTAAAGAAAGCACCAAGAGATGAAGTTGATTTCTACATTGCCACTACTGTATAATACACACAGAAAATTTACCTTGATAAATGATTTTAAATCTTGAGATTACCTATTTATATATTGTGTTAAAACCACTTTCATTTTAGCCCACCAATACTGATTTTCAATTTTCAGTTTCTTTTGAACTGTAGAGGCAGAGAACTTTCTGCTTATTTCAGATGTGCTCAGGTGGGTATACACCCATATTACCAGAAAACTTGATGAAAATAAAGAAATAGTCCTTTGGCTAAAAAAAGATGGTGTGGTTTTTTTCTAAAAAAAACTTTATAAGATTGCCCTGCAGTTAAACTGCTATAGCAAACAGTAATAGTCCTTTCACATCTATAATAAGAGCAGTATCACCTGCAGTTTTATTGACTGTCAGAAAACAGGTCCAATTTTGTGAAACAATAAAAATCAAATTTAGTGTAAAATCTCCCAAGGTTGTAGCCTGTAACCTTATAACATCAGAAATGACAGCAGTAAGCCTTTTCTTTCCCTCCTTTTTTCAGTTCAGACTCCAAAAGAAACCAGAGACTATATCCCAGAGCAGGGAGTCCTGCAGACATAGACATATTACCATGCAGAGGCACAACAAAGGCACCAGAAGATTATTTCAGTTTGTTTCTTTTCTTAGTGGTCTACATTTCTAGCAAAACAGAAAGGCACAGCCTGTTAGTCTAACACTCACAGGTAAATTTTAAGGACTTAACAAAATATAAAGCATTAATAACACAATGTGATTTTGCTTTTCTTAGTCTTTAATGTTTTCCCCCCTTGTGTTTACACAAATAATTATGCAAACACAGTGAAAGAGCTTATGGGAAGTGCAACTGAAGTCAAGGATAAGGTCAGTGTATTGGGTTTGCATGGCAAAATTTTGGTGTCTCCCATGAGAATCACCAAACACTTCCCCCATGTCCAAAAGAGCCAATGCCACTCAGATAGCTCAGTGGCTGAGTATTTCACCCCAAAGTACTCAGTAACCCCATCGATTTAAATTCTCCATTTCATATGCAAGTTAGATGAAAGTCACCCAAAATTAGAAACAAATAAAACATGCAGTAATACAGATTATTAGACCCACTTGTAAGGAGCTGCACAAAATAGAAAATTGCATGCCTCATGGAAGAAGAAGAGTTGTATTTTAAAACACTGGACAATATTTACATTGGTGACCTATTGCTCTGTCTTTTCAAGGAGACAGAGAGTCTTAACTGTAATGGAAAGGTTATTTTTTAAAAAGAAGTGCCAACTCAGAATCAAATATTTAACAAATGGTGAAATGTCAGTGTGAGGTGCACATATAAATTTGGAGTAGTCTTTTACAGACTTCACACTGCTGATTGCAAGAATGGAATTTGTACCTGAAGATATACACACAATTATAAGCTTCTGTAATCAAGCTTTTATTTTCCATCAGTCCTGACACAAACAAAGAGAGAAGAACTGCATGGGAACAAAAATTCAGGCTACCTATCTACTTCCTATCTGCCTTTCTTCAGCACCCATTTTGGAAAAGAAAAAACTTACTTTTCCCTCACTTAATACAGTGTTGGACTCTTACTCCAAAAGCTTTAGGGTGGAGTAAAAGATTTTCTCTGAAGTAACAATTTAAATATGCATCATACACCTAAACATGCATCTAGGATCACTCAGATAGCCCAAAGCTGTCCATCAGGATCCATTTCTTGTACCTTTCAGAGCAGGCACATTCCACTGCAGGTCTCTTGCTAGATCCCAGTTAAGTGTTGCAAGGACCTTGACCAGGCAACCAAATAAAAATAACTGGTATAGAAGATGGGCTCATTTGATTCAAGCAGAGGTTAAAGCAGGTTATCCAATTTCAGGTTTGCCCAATTATCAGTTTGGGCTTTCTTTTTTAGCCCAGCATGAGTTCAGATTTGAGCCTTAGTCAAGTAAATAGCTGCCTCAAACAGGAGCTGAACAAGCTATCTTCATTAAAACTTCTCTACAGAGAGTTTGAGTGTTTGGGCAAGAAAAGAAAAGGAAGAGGGGAAAGCAAATGAGGCTCTCAGACTAAGAGTTCCCTTTCATCTAGGCAATGTAATGCAAATCCTTTCTATTGCACATTTTAAGATGCAAATTGGATTCAAGTTGAAGTCCACCTGTCTTGAACCAGCAGGGATGTCTTCCCATTTTTATCAAAGCATTTCTCTGCCAATTACTGGCTGTTGTGACAGTTGGAGATTTTTTGTGTGTGTGCAGACTTCTACAAATACAAACTCATTAAAATTAGATCTTTCACATTCTGATCCCAAGAAAAACTGTCGCTGAAAAATATCAGGGGTCAAGTGATCTGTATAGTCTAATTACATCCTAAAAGACCTAGAAGTTTGTGTTTATGAGGAAAAAAGAGTCCTATTTTCTTGGTATTTTCTATTTTCAAAATTTTATTGCTTTTAAGAGGGGAAAACATTTTGTAATACAGAAAGACATTGTTTACTCACTGCAGACAACTACATCTCTATTCATTAAAGTAAATTTTATTTAGTAGCAGCAAGCAAAAATTGCCCAATTAATTTAAGTAAATTCTCTGCCATTCCATAGAAAAATAGATATTCATTAGAACAACTCTACAGAGCTCATATACTGGAATTCACCAAATCATTAACAAGCAACAATAAGTTCAGATCAAGTGGCTATGATGCCTAACTTGTTTAAAAACACAAACTTCCTTTTCACCAGGAAAAAACCATATATGACTAACATTTGTTTAGCAGTGAAAAGGAAAAAAAATTGAACTTTTTTTTTTCATCTTATGAAACTTTTCAGCAGATTGGCTTTAAAAGTTGCATTTTTTTCTTTGATTTCACAGTTTAAATTATTTTACTGTTGTATCTTTGTATGAGAAACATTCATGACCAATCTCTTGCTAATGTTCTGTATTTGAAATGAGCATTTTAAATATGTTCAATTACTAAGGATAGGCACATAAGTCACAACTTTGGCTACCATGCTCTCAGAATCAGTTTTCAGTGTGTTGAGGCAGATGTATTCTCTGCATGCAGCAATACTTGATATACAGATATGACATTGTAGCTATATTTATGATAGATATCAGCTGTTACTTTGGATTTTTTTTCTCACAACCCTTTTGCAGTCTTTCAGCAGAAAACACGCCTGAAAATTGTTGACAAGCAGGTAAGGGTTCAAATATTAAAGGAAAATTGAAGGAATTTTGGTACTCACCAGAGATGGAGAGGGACACCTTTCCAGGTCTAGAATATCTCGCTCTGGATCTCAACCATGATGTGTGGTACATACATTCCTATTGAAGGACAGAGTTGGTCTACAAAATCTTCTGAGATGACTCCTCCTACATTTCATTTGGCCTTGTAAGTCAAATACACAATAAAATTTCAGGAAAAGTTTTGGAAACAGCAAACACCAAAAAATGTGCTTGTCAGAATAGTACACCACAGAAGGTGGAGTGTTCTTTTTCTCTTTGCATATATATTGCTCAAATCTGTAGGCTTTTCCTTTTGGAGAGGGGGAAGAGGAGGGCATGTTTTGATTTCAGGTCATGGGGTTTTTTGTTGTGAGGACGGGCCCACATTCTCTCTCAAACATACAAATTGGCTAACAGATTACTAGAAATCATTTCTCAATAATGCAGATAATTTTTTGTCGGAGAAAAATGAGGCCTTTGCCGGGGTCGAGCCATTTGTTGGTGAGGGGAGACTCAGACACTCAATATGAGTGATAAGCAAATTCCGTTTATTGAAGAGAGCATCAGACGCTTATACAGCGAGTAATAAGCTTATGAATATTCTGTAAGCTAAGCAATCTATTGGTTAAACTATACTATCAACTCTTCCTCATTCCTTAGGGGTTACATCTC